CCATTGCTTGTCGGTGTAACATTAATGCGGTCATTGTTATTTTGTGATATTAACAAGTCTTTCACTACAAACCCGCTGGTATTGGAAACACTGAGCTGCGAATCAGAATTATACCCCAGATAACTAGGCGCTTTGATGATTCTCTGAGTCCGCCTCATGATATCACGAGCGTTCCTCGAACCAAACTCGAACTCTTCCCGAGCACGGGCCACTCTGCTCCAGAAACGAGCTCCTCTCCAAACACGAGTTCCAATCACCGGCTCTGTACCAAACACACACGAGCTCCAACCACCGGCTCTGCATCCAACACGAGCACCAATCCACAAATAAGCTGTACTCCGAACACGTGCTCTGCTCCAAACTCACGAGCTCAGCTCCAAACACGATCTCTGATCCAAATACGAGCACTGCTTGAGATAAAATGTCCGCTCAGTTGTCGATGTTGCAGTGGTTGTTTTTTTTCTTGCTCAACAAGACACGTGCATAATTTTATGTTTTATGCTGAGAAAATTGTACATTGACTGCTCATCTCTTGAATTCAAGGTTTTATCTTCGCAGATACAAAAATATAATTCTCAGACAGAGCAATTTGCCATAAGAATTATTACAGATAATTCCAAGTCAATTATTACAGATAATTCCAGCCGAGGAAGCAGTCAAATGGAAGTCCAATGAAAAACTTTTCTCGGAAACTTTTTTCAATTTCACAGATACTAAAATAAACGAAGCCCTACCGCAACTCAAGCCCCAGACCTCTGAGTACACAGGCACCTTCGCTACCTCTAGGCCAAAAGCCAAGGAGTCTGCTAAAGTTTAATCCGATTTTCAATCACAAATCGTGGCAGCAGTTAGTTTTATTTTCGTTCGATTTGAGGTCAAAAAAGTTGTGAAAATTATTTGTTTTTACTGCCAAAATGCCTTCATTTTTTTTGGTTGTTTTGCTTGTTTTTAGGTTCATTACGTAGATTAGCCCCGTCTGCTTGTCATCCACTATAGTCCGAAGAGTGCTTCCATTTCCAGACTCTCATCGGGTGCTCAATTCAAAAAGTCTTGATCTTGAAAAAAATCATAGCTTTCTAGGGGACACAGGAACGAAGCTGTGCTGATTGAAGGGCTGAGAAGTTTGTATATTGACTGCTCAAATCGTGAATTCAAGGTTTTATCTTCGCCGATACAAAAATAAAAATCTCAGACAGAGCAATTTGTCATTAGAATTATTACAGATAATTCCATATGAATTGATTTAGCAATGCACAGCAACCAAGCGGCCTTGCTTTGGTGTGTGATTTGATGTATGGAATGTTTCTCGGAGAGGCTAAGCAAAGAATCCAACTCAAAATGTTTGCGATGAATTGTGAACAATCTTTCTAAATACGACCAGCTCTTGTCCTACTTTTTTTTCAGTAATTAAAAAATTGCAGAACCTTATCACGAGGTATAGACGAGTTGCAAAAAGTCTAAGCAAAATGGAAATTATTAGTAGGATTCAACAAACTATTTGTGGAAAATTTCATTACAAAATCTAGTTTTTCAGAACGACTCTATACCTCAAGGTCAACTGAAAACTCCAACTTACTTGGAGCTTTTGCAGGAACAGCTGATTGCTCTTTTCAGTTTAATTGACTATCAGAATTTTTTGCAAATTTTGTACGAAAATTTTACAACAATGAAATCCTCGAAAAATCCAAAGCTATTAAAACTAGTTTCCGATCCGAGAAGAAATTGACCACGACTTATACTAAGACCATTCTTGGTTTTAGTATAAGTTGGGGTCAAATGGTAGCATTTTACGCTCTGATGTTATAAAATGTTGACTAATTATTGTGGTGCATGGTAGGTTTTGGAGCGGTTTGTTTGGTTGTTAGCTTGTTCTGAAAAAAAGAAAGCAATATAAAAAACAGCAAAAAAATACTAACACCAGTAATAAGCGGCCACTGAGCCTAAGACAAGTGTACTTAAAATGTGACATAAAAAACTTAAGAGAAACTAAGTTTTACGACTTGGAAATCTTGCAAAACAAACTAGCTTAATTTTCCAAAAAAAAATAATCAGTTTTTGCTTTCAAACCGACACAAAATAAATTAACTGCACCAATAAAACAAACTGAAATAAAAATAAGACTTTTAAGTGAAAGAAAGGAAAACCAAACAAAATATACGTCAGGGCTAAAACTCTTTTACTAATTGCAGGAGGAAACCAGAACCATTTGCATCTACAATGAAACTTGCTGACAACACAAGAAGACCCTCGTTGTGGCATTTAAGCTGAGAAAGCAGTCAAGCTAAAGTGCAATAATTAAAATTTTCTTGGAAACTTTTTCAATTCCACAGATACTAAAATAAATCAAGCGCTACAGCAACTTGAGCCGCAGACCTCTGAGTACACAGGCACTTTCGCTACCTCTAGGCCAAAGGAGTCTGCTAAGGAGTCTGCTAAGATTCAGTAATAAAGCAACTTCACTATATATTTTTTTAAATATTTGTAAGAAAAATTGCCTAGTCCCCGATTACAAGACAATTGCTCTAGCAAGTTTAATTACCCTAAAACTGTTCATATTTTGAGAAAAAATTCGATTGATGTTTTTCTTGATAAATTGGGCCCATATAAGAAAAATGCACAAACTTTTTTCATTTTGCTTGGAAATCTAACAATAAAAATCTTTTTCGAAACAAGTTGTTCATTTTACCCTTTACATTTCGAAGGTTTAGTTTGCCTTCTTTCTAACAAAGATAACAATCTGAACTAAAAAGAAATCAAAAATCAAACTTGAGCGTAAACAGCCTTTCCGAGGAAAAAAAACAAAATCAAATCACGACCTATATAAGTGTCTTCACAACGTTAATCAAAACTTAAAAATCGAAGCGTTTAAGTTTGAACCTTTTTACAGACAGTGGGAGCGCAGAGCTTCGCACCAATTGAAATACACAGAAAAGTGGGAAAAAAAGCTAGTTTTGAAGTTTTAAGTTGCAATTTTCAATGGAAAATTATATGCCCGTAAATTATATGCCCTTAAATTTTTTTGAATTTTACGAAGAATTTATGATTGAATTTTTTGATAACATTACACTAATTTGAGAAAACTGGATCAATAGCTAAAATTTTAATTTCGCCGATGATTTAAATTTTTTTTGAAAGTAGAAGTCGATCACGTTTTTTGTGCTGTTCACATTTTTGCTATTTGGTAGTTTGTTTTCTATTGAACAAAAGAAATGAAGTGAATTGAAAACAAGGCAAAGCAGAGCTTCGCATCACTTGCGATACCACTAAAATAGCGTTGCATGCTAGCTAACTGGAAAGAAAAGGAGAGCCGCTCAGTCCAAAAAACGGATACTTTTTTTAAGAAATCAAAATTAAAAAAGTGGCCTGGAATGAAGGTCTATCTGCGGAAAATGCATTCAGAATTACAATTGACGGCGTTTAATGAAAACTCAAAAATAATTATCCAGCTAAAATAAAAATAATGTCCTAAAATCTTTGACACATAAATTCCATTCTGAGATTTCTAACATTTTGTGAGATCAGGAGAAAATCATTCGTATTATAATTCCCTCGAGCCATCCAATATTAGACTAGTAAGCTGATAAAATTTAAGGTCAAAAAACTTTTTAAGCAAAAGAAAAACAAAGAAAAACATACGAAGCCGAGGCGAAGAGGATTACAAATTGCAGGAGTAAAACTCATACGGCTATAATGAGCACTGCATACGGCAAAAACATAACCGCCACATAGCACCTAAGCCGACACAACATAAGCAGACAGATAATAGGCCAACGAATTTTTTGAAACAGAATATTTCCTGTTTAAAAAAAAACAGGACCTGGTCAGATTCGAACCCGGGACCTTTGCCGTTCCAGGCCTATTGGTTACCTCCAGACTAAGTGAGCTGGAGACGCATAGAAACTTGAATGCATTATGACCAAGATACCCAAATCATTCTGTTGAACAAGTTCTTAACCCGAAAAAAAGCCTATTTGCCGTTCTGATAACACTTGCTAATCGCAAGCGTTAAGAAATCGAGTCAAACCGCGAAAAATTAAATTTGAGCCCGACAAATTTTTAGACTTTGCCTTAAAAAACATCATCGCGACCTATATAGGAGTCTTAACTACATTAATTGTTTCTTAATAATAATTTTTTAAAATAGTGGCTGCGATTCTCTGAGGATCTATGAAAAGATATCCAGCCTGTCTAAATATAGTTCGTTTCTATTATTTCCCGACATTCCAGAATTATTTGGATGACCGAAGCTCTTTTTTGCGACTCAAAGCTGTTTTTCTGCTCCAGAATTGTCGATCTCTAGAATATAGACACACACACGTTGATCCTTAAAAATGTTTTTAAGAAAACTTAGAAGCTCAGAAAAGTTTCTAGGTGCTTCCTAAAATTTAGATTTAATTTTTTGCTGCTCAAATGACTCAAAAATTGCCTAGTTAGCCGATATATTGCAAGCCGAAACCTTTCAAGTCGAATAAGGAGAAGAAAAAAAATTGATATACTGAAATCGGAGCTGGTAAATGTCGAATAGAACGGGCAACTTAAATGCAGACAAGGAAGGTCAAAAGTTTCTATTGCTTGACGAAATAACAGATAAAGAGGACCACCAATTTCAAAGAGGACCACCAATTTCAATCAATTTTTTTCAATGATTGAAATTATTTACGGCGGGAAAAGACTAGTAACCGATTGCAATACTCTAGCTAGTCGCAAGGGTAATTGAAAAAACGTTTTTTTTTTTCAGAAAACTGGATCATAGCTAGGTTTTTAATTCGCTAAAAAGTTTTCAATTTTACTTCATTTCCAAAACTAGAACTCATTTGTTTGTATATCTTGCACTTTCGTAAAGTGAGAGCGGAATTTGCGCTCCTTAAAACAAATACATGTTTTGAATTGAACTTTGATGCAATCAAGTCTGCCTGCAAAAATTCAACAATATCAAAACGACCTATATTAGTGTCTTCACTACGTTTATTGACTAAAAAAATACAAATTCTTACTTATACCGTCGCACGCTGGGCCAAAACTTACATATTAGAAAATCTCTTTCGGTAAATCTCGAAAACGATTTCCAATTAATTTTCACCGCCCCTTTCAGCACGCAAAATTTGCAATAAATTTAATCACAATCACAAACAAACAAATTCAAACAAAAAACAGTTTTTAATTTGAGTTGATAGTTTTTCTGAATTATTCTTCGGTTATTTTAACCAAGGCATCACGAACAAAACTACAAACTTGTGCGTTTTCTCGTATAAACGCATTGAGCTCTTGTGTACTTTGAAAGGCTTCTAACAGTCCTCTTTTTGCAACTTCAATTTGTTCGAGAAGAGACACCACCTCCTCCAATACTTTCTTCAGCTTACTTCTAGCTGTGATCTCTTTGAAGCTCAGTTTGTCAATGTGTTTCAAGATCTCCCGTCTTGAACTGTCTATCTTGTCCAAATATATCATCAGCTCTTTTCTCCCAGTTACCAACTCGAAAGTCTTCTGCTTATTCTCCTGGTTCCCTTTCGACATCTGCTGGTTCTCCTTCGAGCACCAGATGAGGAACCTGACAGCTGCCAACTTCGCCTTGATTGTCTCCTCGCACTCTTCCAGGTCTTTGATTACTTTTCGCCAAAACTCCGTGGCTGAAAAAAAAACAATACTATTCAAAACATTGTAGATGCTAGCAATAAAAGAGGAACTTTTATACCAAGGGGAGTTTTTAGAATTTTTTTACTATATGTCTTCCAATTCAATTTTGGCTCCCCAAATAAAGATTTCAAAGAGCACATATCGTCATAACAAAATTCGAAAACGAAAATTGCTCTTTTTAGACACATTTTTGTACGGTTTAAACTAAATATCGAGCTGCGCATTTTTCATGAGGGATGCTGTGAAAAATGAGCTTTATTTTGTGAGTTGACTCTCAACAAGAAAAATACCCTTTCTTTCTAACTTGTTCTGTCTTTTTTGATAGACTCGCGTTGGTCATCTATCTCCTGTTTCAGTGTATCCATTTCCCTGCGTAGAAAGTGTGGCGCCCCTTGAGAGTCCTTTGCCCCAGCTGTGCGTGCTCCCAGGGTTCTCTTAGCCTTCTGAGATACGTAGTCTATCTGCTGGATCTTGGCCGTCAGCTGGTTAACTTCATTCTCAAGATCCTTGTTATCTTTCTCTGCCTGAAAGTGCGATGTTTATCAGATAATTGTTGCAATGGTTCCTTTTTGAATAAAATGCATATACAATTATATAAACACAACATTCATTCCAAGTATGTTTTCAAAACATTGTAGATTCATGTATTTCTAAGCTGTTAGTTGACTTTATAATTCAACTTTGTCGAAAAGATCTCCATCTTCCGCCCGAAAAACGCACGGTAAAAATAACAATTGGGATCACTTAAAGTATAATTACAAAGACATTAAATACACACTGCTAATGATGCAATACTATGTTAATGTTCCAATAAAATATTGAATCTACCTTATGAGAAAAATAAGTAAGAATTTAGAACATTCAGTCCAGGGGTTTTGGTAAAGGCCCTTTTATTGACCTGTTCCTAAGAGTTTATTAATGGAAGTTCAAAGAGTTCAGGTTTTTTTTCGTTTCTTTGCAGTTGTTGCAGCTACAGATTTTTTTCCTGCAAAAATAACCTAATTGGAAACAACTGGACCGATTGGTTCTTTTTATTCCGCTGGGAAATCTTAAAACTATAACGTATTTTATTACTTTTACACTTTTGATGTTCGATTGAAATTGCCTTCTTTAATTAAATACTGTAGTTTTTGATATGAATTTTAACACAAAAGATCGCTTATGATCTCTTGGCTATAGTTGAATCAAAACGTTTTTGGAGGCCGAGTGATGCAGACGAACAATATGCTGGCCACTTCAGGCTGCTAAGAAAGTCTCTGGAAACTAAAAAGTATTTTAACACAAAGACGAAAACTGGTATCAACGAAAACTGGTATCAACAAAAACTGGCAACAACAAGAATCATGATTGCTCATTTGAACGACTGACTGACTTGTGAGCTTTTTTGAGATGCAATCACAAGGCAGCGCGAAAACAAAATCACCCTGCGCCATGGTTTTTTCTCACTCTGCGAGTCATAACTTGGCCAATTGATATTTTTTCTTGGCAAAAAATCTTTGATGCTTTCTACGTTTGAGAACCCTTTCCGATAGAAAAAAAAATGACTCTCACTACTTGCAGATGAACCGACAAATCTTTACAAAAAAATTAAAAATGCAAACAGAGGCGAAGCTGCGCTTCGCAAACACTACAAGAACTAGCGAGAACACAAAAAAAGCAAGAAAGTGTAATTAGAAAAAGTAGATCTAAGCCTCGAATTAGTAAAATTCTCGGATACGATCTGCAACCTAGAGATTATGAGTCTCGCGCACTAACCACTCAGCACAAACTTCCAATGCTACAGATCGTGATTATAGCAGAATTGCCACCAAATTAGTGAAGACTTTTAATGAACACTTTTATTTGCGAGTTTGATTATAAACAAAGAAGGTTCCTACTAATACACTCCGCTCGCGTATTCGATTTGAGTGATTTGCTCAAAAAAGCTTTGGAAATTGTTTCAGGCTGAAATACCTTGAAGTATTTCAAAGTTATATAGCTTGAATGAATCTCGATAAAGTTAAAAGCTTGCAAACAGATTATTAATATGAAATCAACCAAGTTGTTTAAGTTTCACTGCTTGAATAGCTTGCTATTTGGCAGTTAGGTGGAGAAAAAACATATTTTTCTTAACTTGTAGAAAACCAGCACGCAAGTGTAAAAAAAAGATGCAAAATCTGGGAAACAATATAACTGCGTTCTGAAAATTTCACGAAGAAAAACAAAACGCAACACTTTTTGCAATAAAATGCATACATAGCATAACAAACTAACCGACAAAAATAGAAAAGAAAGCAGTCGAAAACATTTAAAAAATTGATTTATCAAAAAACTTCCTACATTAGTCGTGATTTGTCTTGAATAAAAGTACCTTCTATGATAATGTGCTAAGAAGTAGGACCACTGAATGTTAAATAAGCACCAAAAATAAACTTATAAGGTACCAAAGCCGACCATTCTTGACCAAACACGTTAAGCCAAAAAAAAATGCAAAATCTGGGAAACAATATACCTGCGTTTTGAAAATTTCACGAAGAAAAATAAAACGCAACACTTTTTGCAACAAAATGCATACATAGCATAACAAACTAACCGACAAAAATAGAAAAGAAAGCAGTCGAAAACATCAAAAAAATTGATTTATCAAAAAACTTCCTTCATTAGTCGTGATTTGTCTTGAATAAAAGTACCTTCTATGATAATGTGCAAAGAAGTAGGACCACTGAATGTTAAATAAGCACCAAAAATAAACTTATAAGGTACCAAAGACCAAAGCCGACCATTCTTGACCAAACACGTTAAGCCAAAAATGTTTTTTTTTTCGAAGACTTAAAAACGCAAAAAGTTTTTAGGTTCCCACTAAAAACCACTTTATTAAAAACTGTTTTGCTTCTCAAACGACTCAAAAGCCGATATAATTTAAGCCGGAGCCTTTTGAGCCAAATAAAAAGAAAAAAGAAAATAAAAACTAAAAAAATATATTACTTAGACCAAAAATGCTCAAAAATTGTTTGCTCTCCATCTGTCTGTTAGTTGACGAAGGTATAGATATAGATTACCATAATTTGAGTAATCCTGTGATTAGAGCAATTTACGGGAAAAAAATCTAGTGCCCGATTGCAATACACTTGCTTATCACAGTGGTTAAAATAATTCATGCCTCACATTGAAGTGCCATTTTAATTTAAGCTCATTTAAGCCTTGTTGGTTATAGACAGTCAATTTTTGTTGTGGGAAAATTAATTCAAAGAATTCAGTGTTACAATGAAACTGAATTTCTGGTGCTTTTGTCGTTTTCTCTACAACTGTTTAAGATATATGATTGAAATTTTGATACATGCTGAATGGAATTATTTGGAAAGAGCTACCCAAATCAAAATTTGAGAAACCTTGTTTTGAGGCTTAAAACATTCAATGTCATAACTAGCTCCATAAGTGTTCTTGCTTTACCAAAATCCTAGCAAATAACGCAAAGAATTTGAAATTATAGGCTCAAATTGGGTTGTTGGAAGCTCATCAGCTCGGAAAATCCTGACAAGAGTTACTAGATCTCAGGATCCAGAATCAAAAATGGTCGGATCTGATTTGATGATACAGACATTAAAACTTCTTGGGCGCCTATACCAGAAACTTGAACAAAACTAAGATACAAAGTAACTGCTGATTAAAATACTGTGCATCGACCGGCAAGTCATTTTTTCAAAAAATGCTGGAACAGTTTTTTGACGGCGTATTTTGATCACCAGCGCGAAATTACCAGAATATTTAGCCATTTTTTGGCGACGGCCCAAGTAACTTTTTCAATTTTTCAATGTCGTTGTTTCGTACCATAAAAACAGTTCAGTCCCATCCGCTTCCCAAAAAAAAACAATTTGAGCCCATTTATTCAACTTGTTCGAGTTTTTTGCGATACTATTTCTACAGCAATAGCTTCTTTAAAACTATTTGTGATATACTTGCTATTTTCAGTCTTTAAACTAAACCTCTCAAATATTGATGCGGTAAGCTCCTTACAAACAGTTTCAGTCAGCATTTGTCAAAATGTCAATCCTATATCTGAAATTACTGCAGAGAAAACACCAAAAACGTGAAAAAATTCGTTCATTTGCTTGGTGAAATCAAAACTTCTATGCTCCTTGATAGTAGAAGTGATTCTTTTTTATGCGAAACATTAATAATTGTTACACTGCTCCAAAAACTTGAATTAGACAAGGGATAAAATGATTGCGTACTCACTCAATCATACCTGTTGTCTACTTCTGCCGATGGCGAGAGTTGCCTCCGATTTAAGCTCATTCTGCTTTCTATGCAGCACATCCAGATGTTCGATTGCAGCAAGAGTCCTCACTTTATTCGGTAGCATCAGATCACTCGGTTTGAATTTGGTGTACCCCGCTCTTCGCAAAAGATCATCTATATGCCTGAACCATACAAGTGGGTGATTTCTCACTGCTTCTGGATTCGTCATTTGGCTAACGTCGTCAAAGTTTTGCAAAACGCATTCGGCTGGGTCATAGTTGAAATACTGAGACATGACACCTAAGCAATTTCAAACAAAACTTTCATGTGAGTATAATCTGCCGTAAATTATGTATTTGGAGAATATAGGATAATTTTTGCCTGAAATTGACCGCGCGCTATTCAGGGGAAAAGGCTCGATTATCTTAAAATAAGAAAAACTCCTTCTCTTTACCTTCCATCAAATTAACAAAAATTTTGACGGAAAAGCTTCAAAAATTAAAATCCAAACAAAGTTTAGAGCATCTTCAAAAATTGTCATTTATTCAAAAGTAGATGGCTACCCACTATTCATTACGAGCAGATTCTGCTTTTTGTTCCGATCCCCCATGGACGGAAACGCCCAGAGTATCTCTTTTCTTCAAGTCAGCTTCGAAGAAAAAATTTATCAAGCTATTGAAATATATTTCTCATGCTTATTCAAGAAGCATCATGGCCGAGAAAAAGCAAAGAATAGGTAATGAGAGCAGTTAATCTGCTTCAAACAAACCTTCTAAGTGTGATTATTTTAGATATTCATTTGAAAATTATTTTTAAATTGAAAGCATAACACGCGGTTGAATCTCAAAAAAGAAAGAATTTATTTCTCAAGAATTTAAACAAATTTAACGTGTGTTTAAACAATATTCGGAATTGATTTAACCCGAGAGGACAGCAAAGGGATCTCGAAGATAGCATCTTAAAAGTGCGAATAACTTACGATTTCACAAAGGTTTATAACAAAACAACTTATGAAAAATACCTCACTGCAAAATTTCTGATAATCATAAAAAATTCTCCTAAAATTGAACACAACTTACACTTGGTGGAACAGTGAAACAGTTACAATTAAGTGGAGTGCAAGAGGGAGCCAATGCAGAGCAAACATTTTCTGTTCAGGCTAACAAACTTGGTTTCAATCAAGTTAAATTTATTTTTTTACTAAGAGGCGAAGCTGATCTTCGCACAAAAAATAAATGAATTTGAAAAAAAAAACTGTCTAAAAAATTTTTCATAAAAAAAGTAAAAGCCGAAAAAAGATTGAAGTGAAACCTACTGCAATATTAGAACTTTTAAACGCTGCTTTTAGAACTAGAAAGAAGCCAAGAAAAACCTTTGTGGAAAGTAAGCCGACATAATTAGGTGTTGAAAACCAAGATCAATGTTCAAGAATGAAATGTGAAGCTTTTCGCATAACTTGTATGAATCATCAGATACTGAAAATTAAAAAAATATATAAATTAAACAAGCAACAACGAAATATCTGGTACATCTATAAAAGAGATGCAACATTCAGAAAGAGAACAGACACGCGACCCGCAGAGTCAGCCTAAGGGCCCGACTCCGCGGGGAACGCTCATACGCGGATAGTCAGAGTGCTCTGCAAATACTCTTCTTGGCTTTTCAACTGTGGTGATTATGTTGAACATGCAACGCCTCCATTGTCAAAAGGTGATTAGATCGGGTGCTTGCGCAAGAATCTTTGTCTCGTATTTTGTGACTCATTCGCAGTCGCTCAGGTACTCTGCTACGGGTACTGTCGTCTCCAGATGCTCCTTCTGTTGTGTGGAGAAGTGACGGTCAGTTTGTCCGACGCAGCGGGCGTTGCTGCCCGGACACCGAAATTCACAAACTACACGACTACTTCGCAGTTCTGTAGCAACTGGCGCTTTCAGAGAGGGCAGAATAATTTGTAACTTCCGGGTGGTGAAGATGACACCCATATCCTGCATCTTTCTGAGCCTCTTGTCAAACTGATCAGAGGTTACGGCGGTACGGTAGCACCATATTCGGCCGCTCATTCCAGACGGTCGGGCGGAAAACATCATGACTCTCAAGCACATTAGCCGACGGATTCTGCCGTATTTTCTCGATCGTACCAAAAATGATAGGATCAACGAGCGAAGACATGAACTGGTGTTGAGATAAGTTTTTTTGAGCTTCTGTATGCCAATATCGAAAGCAACCCAAGTAGAAAGGGCTGATGTATCCTGTGAAAAGCGCCCTCGACAATATTCCACTTGTACTTGACTGGTGCACATGCGAGATAGAACAGGAGGTAAAGACCGGTATCTGTGGGTTTGTGGTAACAACTAGCGGACGCACGGTCATCCTCGCGCTCAATCATTAGCTCCAGAAACAGATATCAGGACGGTCGCTGTCTTCGGCAAAGTCTCTCTTAAGTGACCGGAGACTTTATCCCAGAAACTCTTCATCCAAATATTGGCTAAATAAACAGCAAATTTAGAGCACATCGCAAGGCTAGCTCTTTGACCAAACCAGGTGTCGTTGTGCAGAATCATGACATTCCGAACGGCCAGATTCACGAACTCAAAAAAATTTTGAAACTCGGGGAACTATTTCTTGTCCGAATAGAAAATCAGCGGCTAATTGGATCGACTCAGTAACAAGAACATTAGCGTAGAGACTCTTCAGGTCAAGGGAAATGGTACCTTATCTTTGGCAACAGCTTCTTTCATTTTGACTGGAAGTCTCGATGTTGGCGCCGGGTAATTGTTCCAACCATCTTGACAGTGACTGTGACAAGTTTTCATAACAGGAACCTGGGAACGACAAAATTGGTCTCAGCGGACTACCTTGCTTGTGCAATTTAGCCAGACCATACAAGCGAGCTGGCTGAGCCCCACAACTGCGTGACTTCTCATCAAAGTCGGCATTGCTTTTGTTCGCATCTTTCAAGAGCTTGAGACTTCTGTTGAATTCTTCCTCTATTTCAACCCGTCGTTGGTTGCCCTCTTCAACTACCTGGAATTGTGGACTGACCAGGACATCATTAGGCTTCCGTAGGTAAACACTCTTCTTCGTGATACAGTAGCCTGCGCCCTTGTCAAGTGGCACTGCCTTTAGGTCGTTTTCGACGAGGTACTTCTTCATTCTGGCGAACGAACGGCTTGTGAGTCGCTCGAGCACATTACTGGAATACCTGTAAGCAAGCTCAGTCAGGTGGCTGATATCTTTAAGGTTCTCTCCATTAGCAACCACTGGGTTCACAACAAATCTGTCAAACTGTCCAAGAGACTCGATGCCCAATTCTTCCATACTTTCTTCAACAAAATCTACATCTTTCAGGGATGCTAAAATTTGGCGACTGTGGTAACCAAGCTTCCAATCTATTTAACTGCCCCACAAACCCGACTGAACTAACCCCAATAGACCTGTGACTTCGGCCGGCCGAAGTAGCAATGTTCCTTAGACTCGGGCCACGCTTGCATGACGCGCCCCCTATGGGCAACTAACAACAACAACAACCAACGTTTCAAGAGCTCCAAAACATTTTCCGCTATCCCGGTCAAAATTTTCACCGTTTTGTGATATGGAACATTATCTTGTTGAAAAAGCCCTCAAATACATGTTGCGCAAAATGTGTTCTCTCAGAATATTGATGTAAATTTAAGAACTCATTTTACCGTCGACTTTGAAAAGCTTTCTTTCACTCGAAAACTTTATTAGCTTAAAAGCACCAATCCTTTTCCGCCAAAAATGGCGTAATGTAGTTCTTTCTTAAAATTTGGGCCTAATCGGTCTTCAGGCAGTTTACTTACGGTAAGGTAAAAGAGCTAAAATAATCAAATTGCAGCATGAATTAAACCTTGCAATTCAACCTGAAACTAGGCTCAGTTTCTCTCGACATTGAGACACAATTTTCTAATTTCTTGAACAAAAACATCAGTAGTTTGAAAAGCTTTTCGGAGAAATACTCCATCATCAGTCATCAGAAATCTGAAACGAAAGCACCGTTGAGTGAAATGTAAAAAAGTAGATTGTGAAAAACAATGATAGAAGGAATGAGAGGCTGATCAACAGTCAAACAAGAGTTCTCTTCTGTAGAATACCTCAGAGGGCATACGTCAGCGCTCGGCTCCGATATTCATCTTTCGTATTGAGACTGGGACGGATGGCGCGAATATGCAGGGCTTCTAATGCAAGTAAAAAAAATTGAGAGAAGGTGACGAGTCGAGCACTTTGACATCGTCCAGAGAAACTTGCGAAGACGTGCATTTAGTGAAAGCACTGAACTGGCATTCCTGCTCTTCCATGTTCTTCAATCCTTGTTGAGAGGTATCGAACTGTTTGTCCGACATAGGTGGCATGGTAGCCATGACAAGAAATGTGATTAACAACATTACTACCTAAGGAAAAGGGAACCTTGGATTTAAGCGCAGGAGCGCAGTTTTCAGTGGTGAAATAGATATTGCAAGTATCGATAATTTTCTTGATGTTACGAGCCAAGTTCTCACTGCCTGGACCACGGTATTGAAGAGCCAAAGCAAAACGCGTACGGCTTAACTTTTCAGCTGCACTAGCGTAACGTTTAGTCTCAACGCGTTTGGATAAGATGTTTGTAAGAAAATTGTTAATGATCGATTGTACTACTGCCTTAGGATACTGGTTGATCGTGAGAACTTTTTCGGCTTTAGTCAGGCTTTCCGTAAAACTCTCCCATGTGCTGGTGGAATAAAAAACCGGGTAGACAAAACCCGAGACAGTTCCCGATTTCCAGAGCTTGGGAGCAGTTGCATGCTAATTGAAGATAACACCAGTGTCTGTTTTCTTCCTGAACCAATTGGTATAGACAAAACCGTTGGAAAGTTTAGCAGACATGTCCAAGAACGCCAAGCAGCCATCATCACTGGGTTCCGCGACAGTGAACTTCAAGTTCTCGTGTAGAGTGTAGACTTTTTACAGTAGGAATCATGTACGGAATCTCACCATCTCACACCGTTCTGATAATGTCATCCACACATCTGTGATAAACTATAGAATTGAAAGCAAGCTCATCATCATACTGCGAGAGGAAAATAATGTCAAGCAAAGGGCCAACGGGTGATCAATCGCCACTCCATCAACCTGGCGGTAATAACCCATGGGAGTTGAAAACAGCATATTGACAGAAACAAGCTTGAGAAGCTGAATAAAAGCATCAATCAAACGAGTGGTGGTTGAGCGAAATCACCACTATTCAAAAAATCAGCGCAAAGAAGAATAGTTTCTTGGACGGGGACATTGGTAAACAAGCTAACCACGTCCAGACTAACCAGTTTTTCGTCGGAATTCAATTTCAAGTTACACAAAGAATCCTTAACGCCTGCAACATGGCAATTTATACGAGCTTGAGGAAGTCCACCAATCCAATCAGCAAGAACCTTCGAAACAGGCTCGTAGGCCGAATCAGGCATCGAAACGATCGGCCGCAAAGGTGAGTTGGCCTTGTGCACTTTAGCGAGGCCATAAAAGCGAGCTTAAAAATTTTCTTTTTAATAGAATCTGAATCACCATTGAAGGCTTTAATATGATATCAAACATGACTATCGACTACCTTCTCTTGAAGAAGACAAAATCAGTTAAAATAACCAGCCCTATGCCATAGTTCCTTCGCACTCCGAAATTCTGATAAGAACATCCAGGTTCCGATGATTATTTGAGACACCTGATTTCGCATGGAAAACAAAAAGAAGAAACTGAACACGCGAATAAATAGTTCCTACCCATTTTCAACGGTCGGAAAAACAAAACAGCATGCATAAAATCTGCAATGCAATTGCTTGAAATGCTATAACTCTTCTATTTAAGGTAGGACACTGGCCCCTTCAATTTTGCTACGGATTCACATTACAAAAATAAACTAGCATGTTACTGTGCAAGTACAAAACACTTTCGAAATATTTTGAGCTTCAAAAATATAGAAGATGCTTTTTAAAATTCGAGAAAAAAAAAATATTTTTGTAATTTTTGTTGTCTAAATTTCTAGAAACTGCGATTGATTTATGTAAATAAATAAATGTAACCATATTTATGAGTTAAAAAATAACCGTAAGCATTCTTGTAAAATTTAAGTTCGAGGGTCAGCCTCTCTGCAAATTTTGTCTGAAAATCACAAATATTTAGCCGTTTTTCTTGAGATTGAAAAGACTAGTTTGAATTTGTTTAAGAGCCCGAATCATGAATAATAGGGCTTAAACATTATACCTTACTTAACCCCATGCGAGCTTTCCTTGAGGTAGTCAAAATTTGTTGACAAAAATTACCTTTTTGAGCTTTGTAAAACAATGCATTGATAAATAAATGCAATCCTCGTGGAAGATCCATACGAAAGTGCTCGATAGAACATTTTGAAAATGTTAGATGATGTATTCGAAAAAAAGGTCTTTTCAATCAAACTAAACCAGCAGCCTAGTCTCAAAACTAACACCCCACCATAAAGCTACAACTTACTGACAGAGATCGAAAATATCTATAAGTAACTTCACTCTCCCTTACCAATAAATGCATCCAGAACCCTTTCTTTGCATGAAAGCTCGTTTTCTTTCAGGTTTTTGAATCCTTCTAAGCTTCGAATGAAGTTCATTACATTCTGAAAAGTGACAAGCATAGATAGGCATAAGTGCACCCTGTTTACAGGTTAGAAAATGGACAAGTTAGAATATGAAGCTTAGGACAGTTATTTAGTCTATTACTGTTGATTCAAACGTTTACGCACATTGTGTGCGTCATCAGGATTAATTTTTTTTAGCAATATTTATAGTAAAATCTGATCTTTGATCTTACTGTAAATATTGTAAAAAACTTAATCCTGAAAAGTTCACCGTCCGGAGACGAACCTGTGGTCTAGGGGTCACGAGCGGGTAGCCGACCACTGGACGAACTTTCCCGCTACTAACCTTAGTTGAAAGTTCCTTACAAGATACACTGCACGATGCCTGACGACGGAAAACCACGCAGCGCCACTGCCAAATCTAACTCGAAAGACTATAATCCTACCATCTCAGAATTGGTATGGGCCTCCGATGAAGACACGAACAAGCTCCTATCGGGCCTCCAAAAGTCTAGCCTCTCATGCCTACTACGTGAATGCCTTTCACAATTGAAAGTCTCACAAAACAAATAAGCCTTTTTGACGGAAATTGTCACATCCTTGTCATCAGGTCTTAACGATTTCAAACTAGCTTTCCAAATATCGAAGAATCAGTGCAGGAGATTTTTACTGGAACTAAACAAGTTAAAAACAAAAAGGAGACAACATCTCCAAAAGCTGCCGAGCAGGCACCCGACTACACTCCACTGCGAACAGTGAAAACCACGGATGCGCATCTATGCCAAATTCGAATAGACGGAATACCAATCCGGAAGGCTGGTTTCTTACCCTTCACCGTTGCTCGCAACGGCCTTGCAACTATTGTAGCAGCACAATAGTTGCAACTCGGAACGTCCTCTGCTATTCTGTAGTTCGTTGTCGTTTTCAATCTCGATTTTCGTCCTGTTCGCTATCGCAGATAAAGTTGTTCTTGTCTTTCTTTCTCGTTTTAGCCAAAATGGCCGTTTCTGACGTTTCTCAGAAATATGACGTCATAATTCGAATTTTTGAAATTTAAAAATACTAGAATATTCCAGCCCTCACCGTCTGGCTAATCGTTCCAATAACGTTCTTAGTCCTTAATAACCACAGATCCGGAAGGCTTACTGCTAAAAATTCGAAGTCTGCACAAATTGCATTTTGGCCATTCTGGTCGAATGTCACATACTCCCCGGACAGTCCGGTCAATGTCCTCATTGAATCGCGCAATGTTCATAAAATGGTTACAGTGTCATCGAACAGAATTTACAAAATGAACGAAATTACTTTTATCCACGTCACTTCAACTCACCGCAGAATATAAATGGCATCATACTACATCACTATAGCCTTCAAATTCTCTCATTAATCGGCACGTTGAGGATACAACCTAAGATAAAACCATATTTTCTGACTTCCAGTGTCAATGTCCCGATTAAAACTTTTTCTCTTAGATTTAAAAGGTGTTGGCTTGCAGGACAGTCCTGCCAACCAACAAGCTAAAATTATCCTACTATGTTCCTTCCTTTCGGAAATCTAGCTTGTTTATTGTCCTGAATATTAAAACTAAGAAACTTTGTGGTTAGAAAGAACAATGTACCAACCTCCCTCTCCAAGAGGTTACTCAAGTTTTTCATGTCACCACAAAGTGATCAATCTTCCTAAGTGATTAAAAACAATCATGCAGGCTGGAATATTTAAATATACTCTTCTCTTAAGTCTTTCTAAATAAATAATAAGTGTCTCTAAAGCCACTTCTGCTAAAATCAAAATGCAAATTTATAAATGCAACAATTTCAAAACTCAACTAAATGTTTCAGTTTTCAATTACAACTTGGTTGCTTGGTTTCTCACTTGAGTTTTTCACACACATAAAACAATTCTGAGTTTTAACTTTTCTTCATCACTCCTTTGTTCTCTTCTTTTTTCGTCGTTTAGAAGTTCTAAAACTTCTAAATTCTTCTAATTTTTTTTCTTGTTGCCTCTTGTTTCCTCGACCATTTGTCAATGTTCCATTTCCTCCTCCTGTGATGCTGACTCCGCACTTTCGGTTTCCGTGTCTTGTAGCACGTCGTTGGCTATCCTGACGCTGTTGGAAGCCGTCCTCCAACACTTCTGCTCTTCTACCCTCTGTTTACAGCAACGTAGGGGATCCACGTTGGATTCTCTGTTTCTACAGAAGCTGTTGTGGAGACACAACGTCACGTTTCTCTCCAGATCTTCTTTCAGCATCTCTGCCTTCTCATTTCCACTACGCTCACTCGTCCTGGAAATTCTTTTCACAGCGGTGGTCACTGCATTCCGATGAGTCACGAAAACTCGCTTGAAAGCTCCTGCCCCAATGTCCAGCTGATATTCACTGTACACTCTGCCATGTTTCGACATATGCTTTTTCGCATACTCGTACAACCACGCAGTCATGTTAGCTCTGAACCATGGCATCAATCGTTTTCTCGCCCATATCTTCTTCACTTCCATCGGAATGTTCAGAACTTTGCACATTGTCTCAAAAAGATCGAAATCTTTTAGACAATCTAATTTCCGCAATTGTTCTCTCGTCGGCGCCTCCTGTGTATTATTTTCTCTCACATGAGCTTCCAGCCATCGTATCGCCATCATAACTCCCACTATCACTATTGTTACGGGCTGTGATGAATCTGGTAAACCCATGGAGAGCAGCTCTCCAGAGTCCCAGATCAACATCAGATTACTACGCTTGGGATACCACCAGGTCTGCAGCAAGCAGTGGCAAGGAAACTCGTCATGCGTCAACATGATGCTCCTCCAATTACGTTTTCCCGAAGCTTCCAGCAATGGTTCCACTTCCATCATCACTCGGTGGATTTCATCATTCTCATCTACTGCATTGTAATCTGTGACAGTTGATCCTCTCTGTTTCTGTTTTTCGAAGTCACTGAAGTTCCCGCTCACATATCCCATGAACTTTTTTCCTAGTATTGACTCCAACTCTTCTTTGGTTCTCTCTGGAATTGCTGAGAACATCTTACATAGTAACTCGTAAGACTTTTCAGACATTCTCGCCAACTTTTCGGACTTCGGCACTGAGAAGGCTTGATCCACAATCGTTCTTGTACTCTTCACGTCGACAGCTACCAAATGTACAGGATACCTGCTCTTGCACATTGGAGCCAACGTTGAACCCACCAAATTTCGTGCTCCTGGTGGTCTACAATAAGTTTCGCTGTGTCTGATGTTCATCTCTGTTTCGATTGCTTCCCTCCATTTTCCTATATACTTCTGCTCAGTCTGCAGAACTCCTGGGAATACTTCTACGCTGATGGCTGTGACCATCTCATGTTTCTGTTCTAGATTCAATAGTGACTCTAAAGAACCAAACATGCTGTAGAATCCTAGTGCAGTCACTAGATTCACATCGGTTCCTCCATGGCAATCTGCTATCAGTTCCGTCTCCGTTCTTGCTTTCATCACTACATTTCCAAACAATACTGTCAATTGCTTGTGTTGTTTCTCCAGGGTTTTCACACAGTCTAGACTTCCACAAACATGACCCTCCAGTCCACAGACTTCCGCCAGACAGCTACCAGGTTTGACCCAGTCTTCTGGTCCCCAGCCAGGCAACTCCACTTTATCTTCTCCGTTGCTCTTAGAGGCTGTTATCATCACATTATATATGATGTTGAGGTCACGCAGGTTACAGTGTGCATTCAGTTCCCTCTGTACGTCTTGTGTCGCCCGTAATATTGAGTCAGCGTTGGGACTAGGACACCATGACGGCCTCATCAATTCCCATACTGCCATCAAGCTCGTTCTCAGTAACTCATCTGAGAATCCCAACCCAAACTCCACTCTCTTGTCGGATTTTGGTACTGAAGGTGCAATTGCCTCTTCTTCCAAGACCAATCCCAATTTGGCCTGTGGATTGTTAACGCTCTTGATCGTTACAATTCTGGACGTCCAGAATCTTAGTAACACCGCCTGCTCATAATCAAAGAAGCAATCGCGTATGTCTTCACTCAGGAAAGGATTGTACGCTATCCCTATGATCCCGGATACGTAGCTATATGACTTCTTCTTGATCGGTCCACAGTATTCACTGGATTTCGGCAATGCTCCCATAGATTCTTTAGTGAGTCTCAACTCCTTGTTTGAGAATCTCCTGATCTCGTCTATCTTTTCCATGGGTTCCAATTCTTCAGGTTCTTTCATGTTTACCCTCATCGGTTTACTTTGCTGCATATCCAGCATTGCTAGTAAGAACAAGGCTTTCGTTCGCTCATCGCCTTCCCTCAACATTTTAACACAAGTGTTTAATGCAGGTACTGAAATCTGCTCTATCAGGAATCGAATGAAACAGAGAGCGTCTCTCCGTTTCGCACACGCTACTGCTGCTCCCTCCTGGACTATCAGATCCCTCAGATTCGTCATAAGGAAAACCTTTTCTTCTTTTGATCTCTTTCTCTCTTCTGAATCATATTCTTCGCGAGTCAGTCCCATCATGCACCAGGCGAGCCTGAGTTGTAACTCTGTCCTTACGTAAGGTACTGCCACGAGAGCATGTATTCTTGGCGTAGTCCTCATTTCTTCTTCGAAATACCTCAATACTACTGCTTTCCATGGAAGGCTCACTAACTGCTCGATCGTTTCCGCCTGTATGTCAGACGACGCCAAAGTTCCATACGCCTTCTGCTTGAGGGTGGTACCTTGCAACATCATTTCCAGATAACCCTCCATGGCTTTTTCGTCTTCCAGGGCCATTACATACCCTCTAGCCGAGTTTCGGTATTCCAACAACTCCATGTATCCACCAGTTGGTTCATCTATCGACACTGTCTCCGACACGGTTAGTCGGTTGTATTCCACTGGTGTTAGTTGTCCTGCAACACTTCCCTTTCCATGATTCATGGGAGATGGCTTGAAGTCCCTCATTTTGCTCTCTCCACATTGGCTTAGTATCTCCATTTCTAACGTTGCTCCAGTCAGAGTGCGGTCACTCCTTTTGGATTTATAACCGGTTGACTTCGCTATATCAGTTAAT